CTCTATCCTTGGAGTGTAGAAAACTGCTGAACAAATGATAGGCATTAAGTAAATATTTGTTGACTACCCACAGGAAGCCAGATATTTTACTGGATGCTGAGCATATTACTATGAACAGACATCATCCCTGCCCTCATGGAGCTTGCAGCCTAATTCAGGAAACCAACTTTAAACACAAAATTACTCAAATAAATATTCAACTACAATTATAATAAGCACCACTAAACAAAAGTACTGTTTGATATAAAAGCATTAAACAAGGGGCCATCTAATCTGCTCTAAGGAGTCAGAAAAGGTTTCCCTTATGAAGGGATATTTAAGTTGATACCAGACAGATGAGATAGGAAAAAGCATAACAGGTAGAAGGAATAGTATATATAAAAGCTCTGAGGCAAGAAAAATCCTGCCTTTTTCACAAAACTATAAAATCCCTAATGTTATTGGAATATAGTGCTTGAGAGTATTTTCAATTTGTGTTTCTCTGAAAGCAGAGTCATAGACACAGACTTGGAAGCAGGTAGTTTATTTAGGAGGCAGGTAGTTTATTTGGGAGGTAATCCCAGAAACCCAGAGGGAGGGAGTGAGTAGAGTGAAATAGGGAAAGAGGAAATCAAATATAAGGGCATGTTATTGAGTTGTTTTGTAATCCACTTTAAAGAGGCTGGAGAATTTATTCACAAACTCCACATCCTCTGAGTTGACAGTTGCCCCAGATAGGGGTTAAATTCCCCACTCATCTACCTTGCCAAATGGGCTGAGCAAGTTCCCATGTTGTCTGGAGACTTATTTGAGTAGGACACTGGCAATGTGAAGTAAATTGGAATGATCTAATTCAGATATGGCTAAAATCAGAGACGGACTGTGAATATGTGATATGGGTGGTACATTGCCCATAATAATTGTATTATGGGGAGTGTGCCATTGTTATAATAATTATTTTTAACTAAGAATGGAGTTGCCTAAGAAAAAAAAACAGCTAAATTTGGAATCATTACAATTCAGTGCTTACTCTTTTTACTTCTCAAAATCAAACTCAGATTTTGGTCTAGTTAGGATACAGTGAGAATATTTGTTACATTTATATTTATTGACTTCCTATTACTTGAACTTCCCTCCTGGAATTCAGTTTATTTGGGGAGATAAGGTAATTTATCACTTTGTAAGATGTACAGATTGGTGAATGACTCAGAAAAATATATTTTAAAAAGTCCCATTAAGTGTTCAGAAAAGTAGAATATTGTTAACCTCATTCTTAAAATAGTGAATTGTTATTGCTATGTCAGTAGTGGACTTAGTGTATTTGACACTGAAGTTGGATAATTTTGTTAACACATTGCTCTTCTAGATGGCAAAATTATTTTTAGGAAAAAATCAGAAAATGAAATTGAATAATTAGCATCTCTAAGAATTAAATGCAGACAGTGAAAATCTTTTTTTCAATTGAGATATAATTGACATATTAGTTTCAGCTGTACAGCATAATGATTGCATATTTGTATATATTGTGAAATGATTACTAGAATAGTTCTACTACATCCATCACCATACAGAATCACAAATTGTTTTTGTATGATGAGAACTTTTAAGATCTACTCTCTTAACTTTCAAATATACAATACAGTATGGTTAACTATAGTCACCATGTGTATGTTACATCCCCACTACTTACTCACTTTATATCTTTTGACCACCTTTATCCATGTCACCCACCTCCTACCTTCCACCTCTGGCAACCACCAATTTGTTCTCTGTATCTAGGAGTTCGTTTTTTGTTTTCTTTGTTTGTTTGTTTGTTTGTTTGTTTAGTTTGCACATATAAATGAATTCATGTAGTAATTGTCTTTCTGTCTGACTTATTTTGGTTAACATAATGTCCTCAAGGTCCATCCATGTTGCTACAAATGGCAAAATTTCCTTCTTTTTTATGGCTGAATAAACCACTTTGTACATACACTACGTTTTCTTTGTCCATTCATCCACTGTTGGACACTTTGGTTGTTTCTATATTGTGGCAGTTGTAAACGGTGCTGCAATGAACATGTGGTTACATGTATCTCTTCAAGTTACTGTTTTTGTTTCCTTCAGATAAATACCGAGAAGCAGAATTACTAGATCATATGGTGTTTCTATTTTAAATTTTTTGAGGAATCTTCATTTTGATTTCCATGGTGGTTGCACCACTTTGCATTACCACCAACAGTGTGCAAGCATTCCCTTTTCTCCACATCCTTAACAACACTATTTGTCTTGTTGATGGTAGCCGTTCTGGCTGGTTTGAGATGATATTTCATTGTGGTTTTGATTTGCATTTCCCTGATGATTGGTGATGTTGAGGACCTTTTCACACATCTGTTGGCCAACTTTGTGTCTTCTTTGGAGAAATGTCTGTTGAAATCTTCTGCCCATTTTTTAATAAGAATGTTTAACTTTTTTTTAAAAAAAAAAAAAAAAAAAAATTATTTTCTACCTAGAAAAATGTGCTTATGGAATAATTAACATGTTGGGCATGATATTTTGATGATCTAATCATGCAAATTAATGCCAGTTAAAGAAATTATATGAAAATTTGTGTGGACAGAAGAGAATAGAAGGTATGGAAGGATGGATAACCCATTTCTTACAGATATGCAATGGGGCCTAGCATCATTTCAACAGATGGATTTCACTAGAAAACTTATATTTTATTTTGGCCATTAAAACACATTCTCTGATCAAAGGGAACAATACATGGCCTAATTTAAAAGAGAATTATATATATATATATTAGTAGATGGAAACATTTTCATTATAACTCTTACATAAGGTTTCCTTATTTATAGCCTGTGCCTTGTTCCAACAACATATTTACTCCATTAAATATCTAGGCTACTGATTTTATATGGAATTGTTTAGGTTGTGCATCACATAAATGATTACTTTGTGTGCCACAGAACTTCAGCACAGTAACTATGTCTATTAGTTTGTTGCCTTTACTGTACTGTAATGATTTCCAGGAAAACCATTAAAATGAAATATTTAATTAGAAAAATTTAACCCAGCTCCTTGTACTCCTGGAGTCTGCCTGTGAGTGGATGGGCCTCAAGAGTCAAAAACTGAAATTGTATGGAAAATTTGTTGTGGATGAATATTGTTTTCTGGGCAATCAGTCATTAGTTGAAGCTATTAGTAGGTGTGGTCTTAAAAGCAGCAAGACTCCCTACCTTAAAATCTTAGCCATTAATATACTGAAATTCTATCACTGAAAGATCATTCATTTGACTTAAGCATTTCTTTTCTTTAAGATCCTCTTTTAAACTTAAAATTTCCCCAGGAGGGATAACACATCAGGCTCTCTGAAATTTTTATTAATTCATTCCGCCATGACTTTATAAGCACCTTACTATAAGTCAAGCAATTTAAGTGCAATCATTTTACACTACTGAATCATTAGAACAAACTTCTAATATAGATAGTACTATGATCTTCATTTTAGATGTGGAAACTGAAGTTTAGAGAGGTTAAGTAACTTTCAGAAGGTGGTACATGGGTCCAAATCAGAGGAACTAGGATTTAAACCCAACCTGTGCCTTTCTTACCCTCAGCCCTAAACTAGTAACATTAAGAATAAGAGGGAAGAATAAGTAGATAGAAATAAGTAGAAAGTAACTTACTTTTGTTAGGATCAGGATTTCTGGGCAGTCTTAAGCCTCTGCAGATCTTATCAGAAATAATTCACCCTTGGTTGCCTTCTGCTCGAATGCCTTCTCCCGACTTAGCCTCAAGCCTGGTTGGCTTGGGCCTGGTTGACTTATGTCTGATTGGCTTGCACCTGATTGCCTCATACCTAAATGATTCATGCTGGATTGGCTCAGGAACAATGGTTGCCTCATACCTCATTGGCTCAGGCCTGGCTGCCCAATACTGGGTTGGCTTATGCCTGCTTAGCTAGGGCCTGGTTGCCTCAGGCCTGGTTGCCTCAGGCCTGGTTGCCTCATGCTGGACTGGCCCAGGCCTGATTGCAGTTGCCTCATGCCTGCTTGGCTCAGGCCTGGTTTCCATGTGCCAGATTGCCTCATGCCTATTTGGTATGGGCCTGATTGGCTTCTGTCAGGTAGGCTTGGGCCTGTTTGCCTCATCCCTGGTTGTCTCATGCCTGGTTGGCTAGGGCTTAGTTGACTTGTGTCTGATTGGCTTTCACCTGATTGCCTCATACCTAAATGATTCATGCCAGATTGGCTCAGGAATGGTTGCCTAATGCCTGATTGGTTCAGGCCTGCCTGCCTAATGCCTGGTTGACTTATGCCTGATTGGCTTGGGCTTGGTTGCCTCATGCCCAATTGGCTCAGGCCTGGTTACAATTGCCTCATGCCTGATTGGCTTGGATCCAGTCGTCACATACCTTATTGGCTCAGGCCTGTCTGCCTAATGCCTGGTTGACTTATGCCTGCTTGGCTCGGGCCTGGTTGCCTCATGCTGGATTGGCTCAGGCCTGATTGCAGTTGCCTCATGCCTGCTTGTCTCGGGCTTACTTTCCATGTGCCAGATTGCCTCATGCCTATTTGGTATAGGCCTGATTGGCTTCTATCAGGTAGGCTTGGGCCTGGTTGGTTCATGCCTGGTTGCCTCATCCCTGGTTGTCTCATGCCTGGTTGGCTAGGGCCTGGTTGCCATGTGCCTGGATGGTTCATACCCAGTTGATTGATGTCAAGTAGACTTGTGCTTGGTTGGTTCCTGTCCATTTAGTTCATAACAAGTAAGCTCATGTCTAGCTGGCACGTGCCTGGTTGGTTCATATCTAGTAAGCTTGATTGGTTCATGCCTGAGTGGTTCATGCCCAGTTGATTCGTGCCTGGTTGGCTGAGGACTGGTTGATCGAGGACAGGTTGGTCAAGGACTGGTTGGCAGATGATAGGTTGGCAGATGACTGGTTGGCCAATGACTCAGTATCTTGATGGAACAGGAACCCTTAACTACAGTGTTGTGGTGTGAGGCTGTAAGATGTTTCTGATTTTTCTCAACTTGATTCATACTGTAAGATACCCCTCTATTAAAATGACAATGGGAAAAATAAAGGAGGATTACCTAAAGGTTATTGATGCCTCCTATTTGCTGGAGTTGACCTCACCAGTGATCTCAGCTATAGGCTTCTGCTGGGTTTCAGGTTGTCATCTGGCCTTTCCCTGCCAATAGGCTGGAAGTGAGGGGAAGAAGAAAATGACCCTCTGGGAGTTACTACCGCCTTAACTCTTTGCACTCTCACTGTGTCATAGTGATTGAGTCACAATGCCTGGTAGCTAAGTGCCACGTGCTCCCCACATGGTGAGGGAGGGGCAAAGCTGGGCCATCTTGACCAATTTTATTTCCTCCTCTGCAAGAGTTTAAGAGGGTGGAGCAAGAAGCTGGAAGGAATCTCAGAGTTTATGCATGGCACTCACACTGAGCCCCTGCTGTTTTAACCAACCAATTCAAAGATAGTTGCCCTAACCCCTTCTGTTTTCCCCATGTCCCAGTCATGAAATAATTCACTTCCTATTTCTGTCCTGACTTCCACTTACCACCTCTTTCCCATAGGCATAGAAACTAGAATCCTTTAAAGGGCTGTCCTAATGAAGTGATGAAGTCCCTAATGCAGAAAATATCTCTTTACAATTAATTAAGAATAACTATGACTACTATTTATTGAGTTCTTTTATGACTTAGATTCACTGGGAGACATTTTACGTTTACTCATTTAACCCCCCGCAGCCCTATTATCCCCAGTTTTGAAGAGACTGGTTCAAAAGATTTGGTAAGCTAATCAAAGCCTCAACAATTGATGAAGAGCCTAAATTCATATGCAGGTCTATTTCCATTCCCAGGCTTTTTACTATTACACTAACCTGCCTCTTGCACACACTGATTCTCCACTCCCATATCTGTCAAATCAGATATATTGCCCTTTCACCCCATCCCTCCTTGCAGAATTCCTTCTCCCATCATTTCCTGTTGGCTCATTTCCTCAGCAATGTATATTATGTCACTGGTGCCAATATTGTTGTAGATGGAGTGTCTTATTTTTTAAATATACCAGAGAACCTTGGCTGAAGCAGTTCTAAGTCCCACACTGTGCTAAGGGCTTTATATATGCATTACTTCATTTAGTCACCAAACCAACCCTGTGAAATATGTACTGTTCCCCATTTTATCAATAAACTAGAACTTAGAAAGATGAGCTAATTTTCCCAAGTTTAATACATGCCAAAATGTAGACAGAGTCCAAGGCCCATCCCATAGATGGAGTTCAAATAAAACTACAGAGCACAATCACCATTCAACTTACATTGGCTATAAATGAAACCTAGAGAGCCCACCTTCTTAGTATAATAGGAAAATCAAGTCAAATAACAAACTGCAGAACCTAAAGTAGATTAGATGTAGGTACATTCCTGATCTTGATCCACTTGTAGTACTAATGAGAACTAAAATGTTACAAATGCTTCCTGTGTGTCAGGCATGGTTCTAAGAAACAGTTTGCTTGTGTTAACTCATTTAATCCTCACCACAACCCAATGATATTAGATGACAGTAGGTGATAGTATTATGATCGTTTTTCAGGTAAAAAAAAAATACACATTCAGAGACGTTAGGTAACTTGACACTAAAGCTTAGGTCACGACTAAAAGTTCAGACAAAATAAGGTAAACCCAGTTATTTTGATTTTTCTGAAATACAAAATGGGGTGAAAGAACAATATATCTGATTTCACAGATATGGGGTGGAGAAGAGACAGTGTGTGTAAGAGACAGGATAGTGTGATAGTAAAAAGCCTGGAAGTGGAGATGAAGGTGCAGGAAAGGGGTGAAGGAATTTTGCTGTTTGCTTTACAAAATCAAACTATTTGCATAATTTACTTATCGGGATGGATAATGTTTGGATTTTTGTTTTTTTGTCTTTTTGTTTTTGCTTTTCTAGAGAAGGAGGCATGTGTTGCATTTATGGTTGATGCTTTAAAGGGGTAAGATTAGAAATTACAGTTTAGTGATACGGAACTATTAAGTTTATTTTGTGTATTGGCTCATGAAACTTAATATTTCTGAAGGCCATATAGGTGTTACTTTGTTTTTTTTTCTTTTTTAAATAGTGTTCGGTTTGAATAAAATGCAATTGTGATTTTAAGAGGGTACTCCAAAAATACATATTCTTGCCCAGTTACTTATTAATGTAATTTGTTCTGTCTTAGAAACACAGAATGAGACTGCCTCCATCAAACATGCAAACATCTCCACACTGTAGCTCGTCGACCATCAGGGAATAAATAGTTTTTTTTAAATTATTGGAGTATAATTGACATATTTTTGTGGGGCAGCTGCATCTGGGGAGGTCTCTCCCTGCACTGTAGGTGAAACCTCAACCCGGATGGGGAAGGGCTCCTGACTCTGACTGGGAAAGAATTTTCAGTCAGGTCGAATAAGTGCGAGCAAGAAGGAATTCATTAACACAAGAGAAGCAAATGTCAGTAGCCATGCACTCCATAGAGAGCAAGGAAGAACAGAGGGAGAAAAAGGAAGTTCATTGAACTCCTACTCAGCAAAGGGCCAATCCCTTGCCAACTCCTAAAGCCAGGGTCACCTGGTGTCCAGTATCAGCTCAATCTGCATGACATGGGAATTATATCTCTACCACTCCAGGATTTGGGGGAGCTATGGAGCACTGGATGGAGTGATTTAATGTTCTGATAACTTCAACTTCCCTACTGGTCTGAAATAAGACAGGGAGAGAGAAAAGGATTGTGTTAAGACTAGAAAGCTGAATGAAATAGCAAAGTGACAAAGACATTTACCACCAGAGGTGGAGGTTGGAGAATTCTTGCCTTTATCATGGAAGAGAGTTCAGAGACAAGTGCAATCAGCTTATGAAACAAGAAAAATTATTTAATGTAAGACAGTACACACTCAGATGGGAGTGTGGATGACCTCAGCGAAGAAGCACACTTAAGGGTTTAGGGTTTGGGGTTTTAAAGGGCTTTTTGGGAAAGGGTTGCTATAAAGCATAATGTATATAGCATATATACATAATGTATAAAGCATAATGTATATAGGTGATGTTTGATGAGATAGTTCTGCTTCATTTGAACTTTGAACCTGGAAAAATCACAGTAATAAGCTGTCTTCTGTAATATCTTGGGCTATTATCAAAAAGGTTATTATCATGAATATTGTGCTTAGTTAATAAGTTCTCACCAGATATAGTAATTTTGCAACACACTCATGCTCTTTTTCTTCTACAAGCCTATCTGTTATAAAACATATTTAGAGTTATCCATAATAGAGACGGGTGAAAATAAATGGGTCGTGCTTAAGTTGGCCCTGAGCCCTGTACTGTCATTACTGGTTTGGTGATTATATTCTTAACATTGTAATAGCTTTTCAGTTGGCAAGAGTGTATGGATTTTGGGTCATAGGCTCAGAATTCAGAATGCTTTCAAATAAGAAAGAGATAATAGAAGAACATTGAACTTGGCATCAGCAAAGCCAAAAAGAAAACATGACAAACATGAAGACTCCTAGTTTAAGAATCATTTCTGTGCTTCTTAGTAACTTCAGGCTTTAAGAACTTTAATCTCTATGAGTCATAGTTTTTTCATGTATAAAATAGAAATAATAATAACTGGCTAAACTGCCTCACAGATCAGTTGTGAAGATTCAAATGAAAAACTTATAAGAAAGTACAGATTTAAGGGATCACTAATCACTATTACATTTGTAGAGAGAACTATATATAGAGTGAGAACACACACACATATGCAAGAAATAACTAACTTACCAAGGATATGACAGAAAATAATTGAATGACCTTTATTAGTCTTCTTGACCTCCTTTTCCTCCACACTTCCCTTAAAGGTTAATGATCCCTGTAGTACCAGCCTTGGTTATCACTTCAAGCTGCCCTTTCCATTGGGATTCTTATCTATTTGCCACTCCCCTACCTACCTCAAACTCTACTCTTTAACCATATTGAACTTCTCTCACTTCCCCAGTGCAAACCCTTTCCCTCTTATATTCAGGCAATTCTCTCTTCTTGTAATGCTCTTACCTGCCTCCCAAGCCCCATCTTCCAATTGCCTAGGTAATTCGTACTCATTGTTCATGTCTCAGTTTAGACACAACTTTTTGCAGAAGTGTTCTCTGACTCTCTTTAAACCAACTTGGCTCCCATGCACTCCCGATTGCACCCCATTCTTCCTTTATACATTGCCAAAAGAAAACACCCACATCAGAGTCACCTGGGAGCTTATTAAAAGTCAAATTCATGGATATACCCTCTAGATGTTCTGATTCAGTGGGTCTGGTGTATGGCCAGTCTGCAAGTTAACTAGCATCCCAAATGATTGTGATGCACACTAAAGTTTAAGAGCCATATTCTATTATACTACCCATCACCCTGAGTTAAAATTGAACATTTGTTTTTTCCCTCTAACCTGCAATGAGAGCAGAAACTATGTCTGTCTTGCTCACAATTGTATTCCACATGCTTGACATATAGTAAGCATTCAATACATGTTAGAGCAAATAAATAAATAAATGACTAGATGAAAGAAAGAGAAGGGGAAAGAAAAGCTTTTGTAAGGTCGAAAGAAGCAGATGAACTGTGTGTGGTCTTTTGAACCCTGCATGTCAATTATTACAAAGAGGCATGCTCTAAGAACCCATACACTAAATACAAAACATATACCAACTCCTGGGTTCATTGTCATAATAAC